CCATTACAAGAGCTTTACATGTACACTTTCCTGTCACTTTGTCACAACCTTCATTCCCATAAGTCCCTATTAGATTCCAAGAACATGGCCGACAACCATCAGGATCTTCTTTTCTCATTTCCCAAAATCCATTTTTACATCGTTCACAACTTTAGATAATTGAGAAAATTTGTTGTTTTCTCAATATTTTTAAAATTACTTTGGCCCATCAACATTGCTTTTGCAATAACATTTTCCTGCAAACAATCCACGTTCTGGGTCTTCTTCACCCTCACAAATTCCTTCGAATTTAAAACCACTGTGATCGCATTGGCATGGTCTGCAGACGTATGGATCTCGAATGGATCTAAAAATATATTGCCGTTAAAAAAAACATCAAGAATTATTCAAATTCCGAATTTTTTATTTACTAAACCCAAAAAAAAAGATCAATTACTTAAACAATGTCAATGAAATTTTTAAATATCGGGACTTTGTAAAACTCTGTAAACTTAAAATATTTTCTCTAAAATAAATAAATAAGCCTCGTTTATAGAATATATTGGAAGGGGATTAGAAAATATTTTTAACTTTAATCTTTATTTTATCTAGATGTCCATACTATTATCCTTAAATCGCCTAAATATCAAATACAACTTTGCCATTTTTTTCTAAATTTTTACCTTTGAGGATCTCGATAAAAATTTAAATTGCATTGCTCACAATTGTTTTCCATTGTGTTATGTTGACAATCATCACGAACACCTCCAGAAGAAAATCCAGAAAAATTATAAACTACTCAATCAAAATGGCAACTAAAAAATATTTGTTACACATTATTTTTAAAAAATTAATTACCGAGTAGCATGATCATTACATTCGCATCTTTTACATTCATTTGATTGATCTTCAATGCCTGGTCTCCATGGTGAATCGTTGTGAAAGTCTTCGCAGTCATCACTATTCATTCCATTCATGTTAGGAGTACATTCACATTTTCCATGTCCCATATCTGGCAATCTTAAAAGGTAAAAGTTGGGAGTGTCAACATTTATAGAATATTCGATGTAAAATTAAAAATATTTTTTGAAATAAAGATTCTGAACTGGTAAAGCTGTCCGAGTAGATCAAAATACTTAACAGACATTGTCTGAATATCATAGGAAATTATACTAATTACTATGCAGTTAGTATAGTTCAATTTAATAAAATATAATTATTTTTATTACATTGCAAATATCAAAGGCAGTTGTTTCAAAAACAAGTACAGGACCTGTAGAGCCAATTATAGTTAGAGGCTGGCCACTGAACAAGTGATATATGATGCCACAGATCGCACCGCTAGCTAAGTTCTGCATTACTGCCTTTAAAAGAATTAAAAATATTCCTTTAATTAAATAACCATTCTTTGATGAGTAGCTTCTTCAAGAAGACCACCAAAAGTTACAATTGGGGCCAACAGTGCAAAATACATAAAACAAGTAGTTGCTATACATTGAAGGTTTGACGCATCAGTAAAATCGGATAAATAATGTGGGGCTTTCCGACTTCAAAAATTAAAATTTATTTTTAAATTAACACACCGAATATCTAACATTAAACCCCCAAACAATTTCCCAGTTCTGCGTAAACCCGGATCTTGACCGTGACCGACCTCTTCTTCTAAATCAGTTACAATTAATAACATTAAAAATTATTTTTTTTAAAACCTTTTTCCCAGCAAGTTTAGAACCTCCAATTCCACAAGGTAATCCAGTTGTGGAATCCTCAGTACTAGTTCCTGCCAATTAATTGAGGAAAATTTGTCACTTCTAGCTGAGGGCTTTTGCTAATAATTTTAAATTTTAATATATATATAAGTATTCTAAAATGCACTAACTTGAATACGGCTCTGTTGATTAGGAATTGTACTAGGAGGCTCAATTCGAATGCTAAAAATTAAAAAAAATAATTTATATTTATTTATCAAAAAATTCCGACCTCGGATCCCATTCGCCGGTCATTAAACGGCCAGTGCATCTAAGACTTCATCAAACCATCTAGTAAATCCGAACGTTGTTTTGCCTTGTAGGCAACTTTATGGAATAACCACCACAAGTATTAAGGCAGCAAGTTCCCCGTCACTCCAAATTTGGTGACGGGGAACTTGGAGAATCTGCTAAAAAATTAAAAGTTGCAAACAATAGTTAATGCAAGAAAAAATTAAAATAAAACGGGCAAAATAAATCTAACTGTAAAATATCTGAAAGCAAAAGAATTGGATAAAAAATTTCTATCGATTTACTTAAAAACACCTAGTTGTTAAAGAGAGTATGCCCCTGCAGAAAGAAAAATATAGCCAAACATTTTTGTTCTTAGTAACAATGGCGAACAAAATAAAAAGTATAATATACATAACACCAAATGTTTAACACTATGCCAAATACATTATTTGAAAATTTTCCATTTTAAAATTGGCACTTTGAAATTTAGGTATTTTTAATCTTTTTCTTACTGTACACCTCAATTGAGTACCAACTCAACTGAGTCCCGGACCCTATAACTTACGAAGGAAAGGTCACTATTTTTTTGCTCTAGGTACCATTGGATAGAGCATTAAATAGGCTACTGGTAAAAAAAAAAGTTATGATCTATAAAGTGACGAAAAATCAGATTTTTTTTGAAAAAGTTAGTTTTTTAAATCATTGCTTTTTTTTTAACAATCAATCAAAAATTTTGAGTTTTTGGTAGATTTGGAAATTTGAACAAAGGACATTTAAAGTATTCAACAGTTCAATAGGAAAAAAGCTTTCCAATAGGTTCATGATGCATTAATAGTAAAATTGATTTAGCTTCTTAATAGCTTAGTTGGTAGAGCATCCGCCTATACAGAGAAGGTCGCCAGTTCGATCACTGCCGAGCGGCTTTTATTTTAAAAGTATTTTTAAAAATTGGCAACTTGGCAGTTGACATTTTGTCCCAGGACGTTTTGTCATGTGGCATTTTGTCGCATGACCAATTGACCGACCGCTCAGGCCAGCCCCCTCCGGCCGGCCAGGGAAAAATTCCTCTAACACCCCTCGCCCGATATTTGTCTCTCCTATAATCGTGTAGTCTATCATCAATCAATAATTTATTAGTGGACATATAGTAGTATTAATTTATTTGTTAAATATGTACATACAATAAAATTAATTATTACAAACTATTTTTTTTCGGAAAATTTCAATTATGAAATAGTGAATATTATTAAGAATTTATTTTTTAATTTATTCATAATACAAGTTAGATAATTATGGGAGGGGGGGGGGAGGGATTATCAGAGAAAAAATTGAACCAAGAATCGAGGTGCATTTGTTATTTATTGAGTGTATTCAATATTGGATGTATAGTTTATCTGTTCACATAACCAGATCTACAAATTGTTTTTAAAATAAATTGTGTTTTAGATTGTGTTTATTTGTGTGTTTATTTGTGTTTATTCGTGTTTATTTGTGTTTTAAAGACACGTGTAAATCGAAATAATTATGAAACAAAACTTGACTTAAATAAAACTTTATTTATTTAAAATAATATTTACCATATTAAATTGCTAAACGATATTCTTTAGCTACACAAGTGTGATCAGACTTTAGTAAAATATTCAATTTAAAATCATTTCGTTAAATTTTTCTATGTCATCAAAAAATAATTTTTGTAAACATTAAACCCGCACAATAAAAATATTTTTATTCAATTATTTTATTCAACATTATGTAAACAAAATAAATTTTTAACTCAAAATTACATTAAAATTTAACAAAAATTGCTCTAGATTTTTTGTATTGAATTTAATTTTTATTAATATTTTTTGATAAATTTATTTTTTAATTAAATCATTTTTCACATAAATTTGAATTGCTTTCAAAATATTTAAATCTGATTTGGATATTTTTATTAAAACTTCCAAATCATAAATATAGGAGTTTGTTGAATCCATACCCAGTGTAGAGCCCAGGATAATAGAATATTAGGAGAATACTAATTAACTAATGTTGTTAGTCCGGCCGGACAATATTCACCGCTCATTCCTTAAGAGCGATTAAACGGGCGACGACACTTGAGGGATTGAGTTGACTAATAGAATGATCCTTCGAAAGTTAGTATTTCACAATTCCATTTCCGCCTTACAATATTTTATTTTAAAAAATCCACCTTTAATTTCTTAAGTTAATGAAATTAATATATAAAATTTAAAATTAAATTTTAATTTTTTAAATTTCAAAAACATATGACAGACAATAATTAATAATTTAATTAAAATATAAAAATAATAAATCATTCTCTTTCCACTTTAAAAACTTTTTTATTTCAAACACCGTTCTTCTTCCTCTTTCATATTTTTTAATTCTCCATTATTTTTACTCGCTAAACAATAAAAGTTTGAATTACACGAACAACCTTTATTTATCAATTTCCCTTTTTTTAAAACTTATAAGTATTGTCCCTATAATTTAAAACAATTTAAATATTTATTTTTATATATCGATCTTTAAATATTTCAAAAAAATATTAGTAATTTTTATTTTTTAAAAAATATAAGACAAATAAAATTCTTTTTTTATTTAATATTTTTAATAATTTTTTTTAAAATTCAAATAATTCAAATAATTCAAAAAAATTTAATAAAATAAAATATATCCCAATTTTATTATTTATTTTTACCCTTTATGTACTTAAAACTAAATAAGTTATATTTTTATCATTAATTCACAAATTTTTCTTTTAATTTACAAAAATATCTGAAAATAAAATAATTTTAAATCTTTTTTTATTTTTTTAAATCATTTCCCGTTTTAGAAAGAGGAATTTTTAATCCTTTTGATTTTGTTTTTTTATTTTATTTAAAATTGATTTTACATTATATTTTATTATAAATTAAATAAATTTTTAATTTAATATTTTAATTTTTAAATAAAATTAATTTTAATATAACTATTTGTTGAAGACGAAATCTTTAAATAAATTCAATTAAAAAAGAATTAAATAAATTATTTTAAAAAATGGTAGCGATTACTACATTTCAAAATAGTATTAATAATGAAGTTATTTCTCATCCTAAAAAGGAACCAAAACTTGGAAATTTTATTTATTTGGTAATTTTTTTTGAATATTTTTGTTTATTTTGTTACTAATTTTTAAAGAAAATTGAAATGTTTTATTAATTTAAAGCTTTCCGGAATGGCTGTTATTGGGGGATTTCTTTTTGGTTATGATACAGGAATTGTTTCTGCAGCAATGGTTTTTAATTAATTAATTCTTAAAATCTTCTACATTTTTATTATTAACAGCTTTATGTACCACAAAATAATGATCTTAAACCTATGGGAAATTTGTGGAAAGAAGTTATTGGTAATTTAATTTTTTGGGAAATAATTAAAAACAAAAGAAAATTATTAATTATAAAAATTATTATTATTAAATTTACACCTACATAACTAACATAAAATATTTAAAATAATTAATTCTTTTAAATTAAATTAAAGTTTCTATTACACCTGGAATGGCTGGTGTTGGTGCCCTTTTTGCTGGAAAGGCATCTGATTTATATGGGAGAAGAAAGGTACAGTAAATTAATTTTTAGAAAATAATTTAAATTTAGATGATTATTTTGTCAACAATTATTTTTGCTGTTGGAGCTTTTGTTTGTGCAATTGGAATAAGTAAATGGATTTTATTAATTGGAAGGATATTATTAGGGATTGCTATTGGTAATTTTAATTTAATTAATTTATTTAAAGAAGATTTTTTTATTACATTATAACCTTAATTTTACGTGTAAATATATCTACATATGTGTAAAATTTCGTTGTTAATGGGGAGGGGGGGGTACTGCTAAACGATAGATAAACCTCCTTTTTACGTAGAATTCCAGTCCCAATATTATAAATAAAATCGAGGTTTTTAACTATTTTTAAAAAAAGGATTTGCTTCAATGATTGTACCAATATATGTGGGAGAATGCTCACCGGCACATATTAGAGGAAAACTAGTCACCGGATTTCAAGTAAAATATTTTTAACTTTAAAAGCTTGAATTCAATATTAAAAAAAGTAAATATTTGTTTATGTCGTAACAAATGTCTGTCCAAATGTCAGTACAGGCATTTGGACTCGAGGGGAGCATGCCCGTACTTGAGAATTTTTTCTCCAATTTTGCTAGAGATTTAACTCAACCTTTAATCTGAGGGCAGGTCTCTGGTATCGGAATAAATAGTGTAGCGGTTAGATCGGGGTTTTTCTTAAAAATAGTTGGGCTCTGTGTTTTTAATGCTAAATTTGTTATTTTTTATTTATTAAATAATTTAATTTAAAAGTTAATGATTACTTTTGGATTACTTTCTGCCAACCTTTTTGCGGTTGGATTTTCATATATTGATCCAGAAAATTGGGGATAGAGGTAATAGAGATATTCATACTAATAATTTTATTTAATTAATCCAAGTATAATTAAATATTTTGAATATAATTAATGTAAAATTAATTATTAATTTATTTTAATTTAAAAAAAGATTAATGTTTGGTTTTGCCGCAATTCCCTCAATTTTGCAATTTATTGGTTTCTTTTTCTTACCTGAAAGTCCTCGTTGGCTTTACCAAAATAATTTAAAAAGTGAATCAGAAAAAGTTCTTTCAAAAATTTATAATGGAGACCAAAATTGGATTAAATATGGTCTTTTAAAAAATGTTTAGAAAAAATAAATAAAATTTTTTAAAGAATTAGATGAAATCCATTTTGCTCATGAACAACAATTACAGGATCAACTAACTTATGGTAATTAAAAATATTTTAACACTAGCTTTATATTTTTTAAATTTTATGTGGTGGAAATTTATTAATGCGTATTTTGTCTGATCCCCCAGTTAGAAAATCTTTATTTATTGGGGCAGCATTACAAGCATTTCAGCAAGCATCTGGAATTAATACAATTATGTAGGTAATGAAATAATTTGAGAAACAAAATATATAAAATGAGAACTGCATATTTTTATCTACATATTTCTCGATTTAAAGAGGCATAAAAAATCCTTAATTAAATTAGTGGTGTTCAAGTTCCAGAACCATTTCTAGGAAAATTTGAAAGTTAAATTTTGGAATTACCAAGAACTAGAACCGCTAACTATTTAATTACTTGGAAAAGAAAATACAACTGATTATTATATTAATTAAAATTTAAAATTATTTAATCTAAACAACAAAAATTTACTAATACTAAATATATACCTTTATTTAAAAATTAAATTGTTAACAATTTCTCTAATTTAAGGTATTATACAGGAGCAATAATCCGTTCTGCTGGCGTTAAAGACTACCACGATACTATTTGGATATCTGTGGGAACAGCTAGTAGGTCTAACATTGATAATTCTTAAAAATTATTTTCTTTTTCTGGTGTCAATTTTTTCGCAACATTTATTCCAATTTATTTAATTGAAAGGCTGGGTCGTCGTTTTCTTCTTTTATTAAGCATTTTTGCTGTTTTTTGTTCACTTATTTTGATGGGTGGAGGTAATGAATTAAATATTTATTTTTAATTTAAATTAATTTAATTATTAAAGCTTTTCTATTAATAAATAAAAATTCTGCCCCTTCAATTAATGGAAATATTAATTTATTTGATCAAAAAGTAGATTCATTTAATCGTTGTATTTCACATAGGTTTTATTACTTAATTTTATATTTTTTGAAAATTTATTTAAAGTAATTGTGATTTTTGCACAACAGATGAATTATGTGGATTTTGTGAGAAAAAGGGGAATAATGGAGGGGGATTTTGTCTTCCTAAGGTAAAAATGCATCTTTGAATATTTTTTAATAAAAAATCTATTCATAATTTAAATTTTTAATTAATTTTAGGATCATTTTAATGCAGATATTCGTTCTATAACTGGGCCTTGTTCCTCAAAAAATAGCACAAATGGATTACATTTTATTGAAAATATTGAATATGAATGGTAATTAATTAATTTTTTTAGTGAAAAATAATTTTTAAAATTTTATGAACGAAAATTGTCATACAGACACAAAATACACAATTTTGCCAATTCTTTTAATGGTATTATTTTTATGTTCTTTTGCTATTGGTTATGCTCCTCTTCCATGGGTTTTAAATGCTGAATTTTATCCACTTTGGGGTAAATTATAAAAATATTTTTTTCTACTAATTATTAATTTAGCTAGAAGTACTTGTGTTTCATTAACTACTTTTTGTAATTGGGAATTTAATTTAATTGTTTCATTAACATTTTTAACATTAACACAAGAGGCGACAAAATATGGTAAGGAAAAAATCACAGATTTATTTGGAAATAAATTTAAAAAAATTTAAAAAATAAATTTATTTATCCCTAAATTCCATTTATTTATTTTTACAATTTATTTTACAAAAATTATTATTTTTTACTTTCACCAATTTTCACCCTTTTTAGGAGCATTCTTTATTTACGCGGGATTAACGGCTATTGCTTTTCTACTTTTTTATAAAGTTGTTCCAGAAACTAAAGGTCTTAACTTGGATGAGGTTTGTAATAATTTATATTATTTTAAATTAATTTAAATTTAATTTTTAGGTCCAATTATTATTTATGTCTAAAAAAGAACGTCAAAGAGCTGTTTCCACACTTCAACAAATACCTATGTCTAAAATAGAAAATAATAATGGATTTAATTATAAATAAATTTTAGAAAGAAAAAATAAATAAATATTAACAATTTTTACATAAAATAATTTTTAAATATGTAAATATTTATATAAAAATTCAAAAAATTAAAATTTATTTTTTCTTATTTTATGTCAATACATTAGCAAACCCCATTCGACTTTTACCAATATCATAGATATTACCTTAAATTTTTAATTATTTGAAAATTTTTGAAAATAATTTTTTGTGACACTGGTTGCGGTTCTGGAGTTAACTAAAATCTGATCCATATAGTTATATAATTTATATATAATTTGGTTTGGAATTAAATGAATAAATTATATATTGCTACTAATAATTTTTATTTAAATTTTATTTTAATTATTATTATTAAAACTATTATGTATAAATAAACATACAATATTGACGAATAAAAGGCGCGCCAAGAATCCAATCGAGAGCTTTTTTAATTTAAAAATTTCATTTTTAAATACTAAAAATACTCACATCCACTTGGGAAATTTTGTGGAACCATTCCAAATAAGCATTTTAAATGTAAAGGATCATAAACATCGATTGTTAATACTTCCTTAATTAAATTCAAATTATTTACTAAAAATTATTACATACTTTAGTTAAATTATATTTATTTCCATTTATTTTAAAAGTAATTGGATTGTAAGTTTTGTTACAAGGAATAAATAATATATTTGCTGTTTTGTTATATTCTGCCCCAATTTGTTGTCCAATTGAAAGAATTATTGAACTACTTCCATAAATAAGTGAACTACCTGTATCTGATACAGCTTAAAGGAAAAATAAATTTATTTAGATTTAATTATTAATATTTAATTTAAATTAATAATAAAATAAATATTTTTAATTTGATGGGTAAAAAAAGTAATTCTTTTTAAAATCAACCTTTTTGCCTTATTTTGCTTTGATAACTATTTCCATAACTAACACCCTTAATTTTAAATTTTAATTCATTTATATGTATAATTAAGTAACTACTTCAAGTTCAAAAATGAAATAAGAGCGATTTATAAGTGGCGCCCATCCAATTACTTTGCCGCAATTTTTGTTGTCTAATCCCCCATAGGTAAATTGTCCTCCACCTAAAAGATTAAAATTTATTTAAATAATTTTAAAAAATTGTGAGAATACCTTTAACTAATTTCTTTTGATTACTCCCCAAAGTTGCCAAATAAACAGTAAATATTGCATTAGCTAATAAACCTACAAATTTTTAACCAAAAATATTTTTTAGAATATAATTTTTAATTTTATTTAATTACCCAATCTAATAGCAGCAGTAAGAGGAGGTTCTACTCCATTAATAGCAATTGACTGAAATGCTAACCCTAAAGTTCCATCAATTGGTTCATTGCCTGCATGTTTGTCTATTGTTGTTGCTTGACCAAAAACAATATTTGGAATTGTTAATGTATTGTTTTTATCAATACAACCAAACTTTTAAATAACAAAAATTTTAAATTTATATTTTGATTGAAAAATATTTAAATAAAGTATGTAAAATTATATTTCCGTTGAAAATCCAAATACAAACTTTACCCTCAGAAATAAAAACTTATATATTAAAACCTAATACCAACTTTTAATTTATCACTCCCCAAAAATCCATCAGCAAATCCCTGTCCATAAATTATACTAAAAGGACTGCCATTACTTTTATATGTTGTTGATTTACTTGAATCAAATTTTATTTTCCCGTCACAAGAAGAAATGTTTGAATTTTTACCACAACAATAAACATCACAATTTTTATTACAATATTCTTTTTAAAATAAATTCTTGGTTGGAATTAATTTTAAATTACCTCTATTTTTACATTTATCATTACATTTCTGTTGATAGTTACATGTTTTATCTACAACCCAAAGATTTGAACTTGCCGTATCCATTGATACTCGAAATTCCTGTCCTGGTGTGCCTTTATTTGTTAAATATTTTTAAAAAATATTTAAATTGTTAATCTAATTTAAGAGGAAATTCCTCATTTAGTTAAAGAATTATCATTAGTTTCCGGCACCAAGAAATTAATATCTTTTTTTGTAAAATCTTCTAATTATATTTTAAATAATGAAAATTATTTTTATCTACCTAAAGTAATCATTGAAACATAAATCATATCCCTATAGTTGTAAACATTGTGAATAAATTTTTTTCCATTATAAAGAATTCCATCAATTATTTGTTGACTTCTGGCATCCAATTGGTCTAATAATTTTCGACTTCCATGCAGAAGAATTTCTTTACTGAGTTTTACAAGATTAGAAATAAAAGGATATTTTTGTTTTTTAAATCAGGTAAACGTGAATAATACTTCGAAAGAACACTTGGTTATTGAGGAATTTCAAAAAACTTTCAAAAAATTTACTCCAAAGAGGTATAATTCTTCTTAAATAAGAACAGAAAAAAGATGAACCTAGGAACAAATTACAGATATTTGAAAAATTAACAGTAAAATTAAAACAAACAAAGGATCTCCATTTTGTACAATATCAATATTATGTACTCCATTTTCTAATAAATTCGTTGATAAAATTGAATTAAAAATATAAAATAAAATAAAACAATGAAATAAATGAAATATTATATTCATTTTATTTTTAAGCAAACGTTAAATTTATGAAATATATTTATTTCACACACAATAAGGTATATTTAGTTGGATTAGAGGTAATACGTTAATTTTATATTATAATTTTATATTAAAACATGTATTTGTTTTTTTAAATAAAATTTCTCTAAATAAGTTTTTAATGTGAATGACATATCAGAGTTATTCTTAATCAATTCTACAATATACATATAATAATTTAATGTAGTCCACGTGGATTTATTTGGCGCTTTCTTTACAATAAAATTTTGAATTATTTTTTAGAATTCTTTTAAATGAAAAAAATAATCAAAATTATTTTAATTTATAAATATATTTAACTAACAATTTTGAAATAAAATTATTTCTTTTTGGTATGGAACCATCCGTTAGCTCATTCACGTTAATTTTGACTAGTTATAAATTGAACTGTACCCCGACCTGTTCCAGAACGACATTTTCAGAATTATCCCGAAAAGTACATTAAAAACTAAAAAATTTGAAAAAGTTTCAGGACGGGGTTAGTTAATTAATTAATTAAAATTAATTAATATCAACAAGCATTCTAAATTTATTTTTCTTCAAATCTTTTTCATCTAAAATTGCCCTCCCATCTTCTATTCTGACCATTCTAATATTTTCTATTGGCCCTTCAGATTCTAATACCAATAAAGATCTCTCTCGAATATCCAAAATTACAACAAATATTGAAAGTAACACAAGAAAAAGGAAGGTAATTAGTAGAGAAACAAAAAATAGCCATTTCCAAATATCCCATTCTCTGAAATAAATAAAAATAAATAATTAATATTAAACTTTTTTGTAAAATTAACTAATTTATGAAACTTCTATCCATAATAGAATAAATATTTTTATTGATATTTAGAAAAGGGGGAGTTAAAAATTAAAATAGAATTTTATGGAAATATTTTTGGAGGGATATTAAATCAAGATAATAAAGATTTTTCCTTCTCCTAAATAACTAAAATTTCCCTTCCCTTTTTTTAAATTAAAAATTGAATATTAACTTAATAATTTTCTATTTAATTAATTAATTAAATTAAATTAAATATTTTCAAACTTTTCACATCCTTGTGGACAATTAAAATCGAGTAATGGAAGTTCTAATCCGTAATTGTATAGTCTAATGTGTCTTACATGATGAAAGACATTTTCAGCTATGGCTGGAGATATACGAGCAAATACATTTTTGGAATTTTTCTAAAATATTATTTTTAATTTATCAATCTTTTAGATTAACTTCCAATTCTTACCCAATTATTTCCATCTTTAACAGAGAATTTGTTTGGCAATTTCATAAATCTAGATAAAGAATCATTCGCCAACTTCTCAACTGTTGTTCCAAAAAATTCAGAATTTTTTATTTTATCATTTTGATTGGAATGAATCCACAAAACTCTGTTTATCTAATTAATCTTAAATTTATTTTGCTTCACAAAAAATATAAAAACACCTCAACAATAACTGTTTGTCTAAGAATATTAATTAACATACTCTCATAAAATTGCAACGTTTCATTCCTGCAACCAAAAAATAAAATATTTTTCCCCTTGTTGAAATATGAAAAATTGTTAAATGAAGACACACAAATCCCTCGATATTTTCCCAAAATCCTTTTAATCTTACGATTTATTTTTTATATTTATCATTAAAATGTTTCATTATAAAAATTTAGTGAGTAAAAAATATTTTTATAATTGTTTAAGAGAAAATAGGGGTAATATGTATGTATTAGGGAGGGTAATTATTTGAGAGGGGGTAATTATTCGAGCATATACGGTAATATAAATTTTAAATATATTTTTATTTAAAAAACATACCTACCAACATGATATAGAATTCGGATTACTAATTGAACAAAAATGTTTACAATTAACTAGACCAATATTTTCGTGTTCATTTCCAGTAAAATAATTCATTTTTAATTGTTTTTCTACTCCAATATTCCACAAAGAATTATTTAAAAAATTTTGTTTTGAAATTTTGGGAAGGAAAACAAAAATGGATAAAATAAATTTAAATTTGTTAATTAACATTATTTTTGATATATTCTCCAAAATTAAAAAATAAATTTTAAATTATTAATAAAAAATAGGATTAAAATAGAAAAAATATTTATTTAGTATTTAAATGTAAAATTTCTCTTTTTTTCTAAAATTTTATTTTTATGATTAAAACGTAAAAGTTTTGTCGTTCCCTTCAGTTAACAATAAAAATGACAACGATAATATCATCAATACTTTTTTTAAAAAAAGGAAAGGGAAAAATAAATTCGAGAATTTATTTAAAAAAGAAAAAGAAAAACACTTTCTTTTTGATTAATAATAAAATATAAATTATAAAAAAATATTTTTATAAATTTTTCAATATTTTATTTTAATTAATTAATTAATTAAATCTAATAATTTTAATTGTTAATTTTAAATAAAATTAAAAAGAAATTTTATTATTAATTTTAGTATTAAATTAAAATAAAATTATGAAAAAACTCAATAAATTATCATTTATTTTTTTACGAATTGTTACTTAAAAATTATTTTGATAAGAAATTGAAAAAAATTGGGAGTATTATTATTTTAAAATTGCTTGTGAATAAATTTAAGTTTATATTTTTATACAAATTTTAATAATAAAATATAAAAATTTCTAATTTTTTGGTAAAATAATTTTTTTTTGAAATTTTTATTTCATAAATAAAATTTAATAAAAAGAAAGAATTATTATTCTTTTTCGTTTAAAAAAGAACAAAATTCTAAAAATAATTTCCATTTTCATTTTCTAATTAAAATAAATAATTTAACAATTTAATTATTAAACAATTAATTTTTTAATTTACAATTCTTCTTTTATTTTTTCTCCAGGCAAAATTGCTGGATTGCCTTCCAAAATCTTATCAGCATTATCCATTTCCTGTACAGAAACAATTCCATCATTGTTAAAATCTAAAATCCATTGAAGTCCTGGATCTCTTTTTCTTCCTTCAATTTTATTTTTATTTTTTCTTTTACTTTCCATTATAGACAAATCTCTTTCAAAAATATATTTAAATTCAGATATATCAATAATTCCATCATTATTAGCATCAAAATATCTTTAAAAATATTATTTTTGACAAAAATAATTAAATATACTTTATATAATATTTAGAAGCATGTACAGGGTCAATATCTTCATTTGGCCATGCCTTTCCAAATTCTTTTAACATTTTATATCCAAAACGAGTTAATTCGTCTTCCGTAAGTTTACTATCATTATTTAAATCCATCCATTCAAATTGCCCTTCTATAGTCCACGGCTCTATTTTTATTGCCTCAATATCAAAACGAAGCCAATGTTCATCATTTGGTATGAACCTCCAAACTAATTTTAATATTTATTAGAATTTTGGAGAGATTCAAGGGTTCTTTGTTCTATTAAAAGGGCACTCAATATTGTTTTTTTTGAAAAAATTTAAACCTGTTTAGATCAACTCCTATAATAAATACAAGGGATAAAGACAGTAGAGATCGGTAATTTGAAAAGCCTGTTCCTGGGTTTGATTTATTGACCTGTGCCGGATCCTATTCCAGAAAAACCCATGCCCAGGAAAAATCCAGGAAGGTCAAAAATGCCTTAGACTCTGGGTACAGGAAAAACCCAGGCCTTGGTCCAGACCCAGGCCGATCTCTAAAAGACACGGGGCTTTTCTTAAAATTATTATAACTTTGTACATATATTATACTATTCTTAATTTAAAATTTTCAATTTACCTTTACTCTTCCTTTTACGGCTTAATCTCCAAGGCACTTCAATTTTGCGAAGTTCACCATCACACATTCCTTTAATACCTTTATCTAAACCAGGCATTGTCTTAATATATAAATTAGAAGTAATAATTTTTATTTAAATTTTTTTACCATCCCAACACCCAATTGTATTTTAATTCCATCTTTTTCACGTCCATAACTTTGATCAAATTTTTTTCCAGCCTCAGAAAAGCCTTTGAAATGAAATGTGACAAAATCAAGACGTCGAGCTTTTCTGGGGCAATCTCCAGGTACCCAAGTTTTTGAAACCTTTTGATTTAAAAAAAAATAAATTTATTTAAAATATTCATCTCAAAATAAAATCTTTTTTTGTTTAGATTATGTAAGGAAGAGAAAGAGATAGCTCTATTAAAAGAGATAGCTCAGTTCCGGTAGCTCAGTTGGTAGAGCACCTGTACGAAAGCAGCACCTGTACGAGCGAAAACACCTAGCAATAACTGCCAAGGGGTCGCAGGATCGAAGCCTGCTCGGGATTAAACTTTTACCTCGCTCTTACTATTACCTTAATATCAAGCGGTCCGCCATTAGACATTTCTTCTAGTTCCCTTTAAATATTTTTTATAAGAATTTTAATTTTTGAATATTCTATTTAATTTTTACAAAATAATTAATTATTTTTTAGTTTAAAATTTTGATTTTCTTTTTCTAATTTTTCTTTTACTAATTAATAAAACTTGAAACAAATTTTTTATTAAATACCTAATCTGTGCAGCACTCATTGGCTTTCCCTCCCCCCTTATTTCAATGACTGGAATTGAATCTTCACGCTTTTTTGGTTTATCTTCTACTACTTTGGCATTTGCTTCTTGAAGTTTTAAAGTGGCCAATGAGGGAATTTCCGTTGAAAATACCAAATCTTATAAATAATTTTAAAAAATTATAATATTTTACTTAGATGTATATTTTATGAATGAAAATGAACTAACATCGAACCTTTACTATCAATAATTAAGAAATATTCAAATTGAATGAATCTTGACATTTAAAGGTTTTTATTTTTACTTAGGTAGTTTATTTCTCAAAATATGCAAAAATAAATTTGTTTAACACGACTACCATGGATAATTATTGTTTAAACCTTCCGCCGGGAGGAGTAATTAATCAAGGGGAGTAATTATAAGAGGTTTGAAATTTGAACGTGTTTTAGGGCATTTGTTGGGGGGTGGGGGGGGGGGGGGGGGTAATTATTGTTTCAATCTATCGTTGGATGGAGTAATTAATAGAAGTGGAATAATTATTTGAGGGAGGGCAATTACAGGTTAATACAGGTTAACGGTATTTACTCTTAATAATCACTTAATTAAATAATATTTGGCACTAAAAATTTTTTCAATTTAAATTACTAACCTGCTAGTAGCAACAAAATTATTATTAAAATAATTTTATTATTAAATAAATTAACTCCAAAAGCATATTTAATCATATTTAAATTTTTAAATAAATTAATAAATATACAATTAATTAATAATTTAGTTTAATTAATAATTAATTAATAATTTTATATAAATTAATAAATTTGTTTAAATAAATCTAAACAAATCAATCTTTTTTAAAATATCCCAAAAAATACCCCATAAATAAATTATATATAAAGCTGTGTGAATATGAATGAATAAAAGAAATGGATTAAAGCAAAAAAATTCCCGCACATAATCCAAACAACAATGGATGACCTTCACCGAATAAATGTTTTTTTTTATTGACAGCTATTTAGTAGATGGTTGTGAAAATAAAGGAGTTGATCTATATTGATTTAGCTATTAAGGATTTACTATATTTGGGTGATATACAGAGCAGACATGCACGAAACTCCAAAAACGAAACAAAATATTTTAAAAATCGTTTCGTTAACGAAACGAGACGAAACAGTAGAAATTTAGCGAAACGAAACGAAACTAAACATTGTAATTTTCAAAAAATTTAAGAAAAACGGTTTTATTTTCTTAATTATTTTTTTAAACACGTTAATAGGCCAGCTATGACCTATATATAATGTCATAGCTTTGTGTGACCTTAAATTTTGGTCCCAAGCTCCAAAATTTTCGCGTGTTCCCTCCTTTTATTCAAAAATATTTTATTTAGAATTTTAACTTTAATTAATTTAAATCATTGAAATTATTTATTTTCTCCTCTAATATGTATTTTATTTTTCTCACACAATTCCTGCCGGATTAAGTTGATTGGGAAGTCCTGAAATTAAAAAATGAATATTAAATGTTTGTTTTCTTGTTTGTTTTTTGCTGGTTTTTAACCTATTATTGTAAAAAGTCTAAGTATTCTTAAAAATAATTATCTTCTTTTTAAAAAATTTTATTGAATATCCTTACAGCTTATGAAAGTACTCACCTCCAGGAAGACCTCCCAAAGGCAACTGTGGACCTCCCAGAGGAAACTGTGATTGATATAAAGGATATTGAGGAATAGTGCCAATTCCAGAATTAAATAAAGGAAAATTTTGGTATGGATAGAAAGGATTGGTTTGTGGAGGAATAAAGTAAGGAGAACGTAGAAAATAATTGTTGAATGGAGGTGGTTGATAAAAGTTATTAATAAATGGGTTTGGTTGTGGTGGGAAACTTGGAAGGTTGAATGGTTGTTGAGGAAATAATCCATTTCCAATTAGGCCTAATCCTCCACCTAAAATTTACAAAATATTTTTGAATTAATATTTTTCAACTAACTAATT